CTAAGGGAAATCCTTAGTCTGGGCTTTCTGGGGTCTGTTGGCCCTCCTCTCTCTGTTCTGCCCTGAATTATTGTAATTTGCTTAGGGATTGGGTAGAAAATAACTAAGAACTGCTTCCTCAAAGTTATCACCATTTGAAGATTGATAGAACGAGGTAGAGGCTGGAGGGAAGAGATATTTTCAGGCCCTTCTGGAAAAGTGAAAGGAGATAAAATCTGGAACTGCAGGGAATGTGAGAGCTTCGACTCCCACAGACCAATGAGGCGGGTGACTGTCAAACAGAAAGGAAAAATTAGTCAAAGTCCCCTCTTTCTCAGATAGTCCTGAATCTCTAACCAGGGCACCTGCTTAAAAATACCCTTGGGATGAATATTGCTATTGAAATAGAAAGGCTTTTGCGAACAAACTCTTTCATATACATGAGTTTCTGTGGATTCGTATCTCTAATGTACCCAGACTAACACAGCATCCCTCCTCCTCTTTGAGTAGCAGCCTGCGGACAGTGACCATGTCTGTCTTACTTACAGTTTATATCCCTACGGCATTCTTGTAAATACTGGATGGATGGACAGATGAATTGATAGATGATGTGTCATGTTATGATCAAAACTCTTTTCACAGAAAGGCAGCCTGGCAGAGTAGCTTAAAGTGTTTGCACTGCTTTAACTGTGTGACTCCCACCTGTTTATAAGTCTCCGGTACTTTATTTCCTCATTTTCAAAAATGGTTATAGAAATAGTGCCTCCATGATAGCATTGTTACATGAATTGCATGAAATGAAATAAGTACATATAAAATGCTATACACCGTTCTGGAACGTAAGTTTCTCAATAAATATGAGCTATTATTATGAGTAAAGAAAAGCAACTTCCTGGATGATAGTTGGCTATTCAAGCATTTCATCGTCTTTCAAGTTTATTATAAGATCAAAGAATGTTGAATTGAAGTTACCACTTGAAGGTCTATGAAGAAAATTAAAAAGACAATTTGGGAATAAATAGAAAAATATTAAGCAGGAGAATTTAAAGGACTAGAAAATCAAGAAGGTTGAAAATTTAAAATAGCCTGTTTGAAGCACCTTTTCTCGAGCAATAATACCTCTACTTCTCTCACCACCTCTTCCCTACAGATAGCACCCCCCCCCCCCCCCCCACTGAGGATACTCATTCATCTCTATATTGCAGAATATCCCCAGTGGCCTCACAGAATGCCTCAGAGAGAATAAGTAAGGGTTCACTGGTGCAGAGGAGAAAAGAAAAGTCTAAACAAAATGTAACTAATCTATTTGAATGGAGCCCTGGTGGCATAATGGTTATGCATTGGGCTGCTAACCACAAGGTCAGCAGTTCTAAACCACCAGCCGTTCCATGGGGAAAAGATGAGGTTTTTTATTTACATAAAAAGTTCTAGTCTCAGGAGACCACAGGGGTAGTTCTAGCCTGTTCTGTAGGGCCTCTATGAATTGGAACTGACTTGATGGCAGTGTTACCCAGGCCTAAGGGTTCTCTCCACTCGCTCGCTCTCCTCTCTCTTTCTCTCATCCTCTCCCATATTTGACATAGGAACAGAGATTTTTGTCAAATACTAGGCACGTCAATTGGTCCATAGTAGGGACTCAATAAATTTTGTGGTATGAATTGAATAATTCTTGAGTTGACTTAAAATTTAGTCTTAGGCAATCATTATGGTTACAACCAAGTTTAAAAGAAAAATAACACACATAAGAAAATATTTGCAAAAATTCCACAATGCAAACAATGTGTGTAAGTAGTAAAGTGAATATTTTCATCACATTTTATATTTATGTGATGCATCAAGTGAATATGTTATTTCTATTTCTATAATATATAAATATATTTTATTTCTATAAAATATTCTAGAACGAATATTTTTTTCTATAATGTGGCTCTAACATTAGTTAAAACTATGACAAATAAATTATTCATTTCTCCTTAAAAACTAACTATAATTTTCAAATCAAGAATACATCTCTAAAAGTAGTATACACCGTTTTATGACCAAGCTGCTGTCTTTATTTCATCTACTTATCCTAAAACTGAATTCACCCTACAAAAATAACATTTATCATTTAAATAGTAGAGATGATCTGATTAATTGCTCTGGAACAATATTTTTTTTTTAAATCATGCTGCTGAAGGGAAACATAATTTGCCACGTTCAGCAGACCTACATCACTTCCCTACCACTGCTCACTGTCTTCGAGCTGGCGCTGGCCCGTAGCAACCCTGGTGGAGAGCTTAGAATCGCTCCCGTGGGTTTCCAAAACGAACCCTTACTACCCTCGCTCTTAGCTAAAAGGCTGAGAAATGATACAACTCTAACTCTTTATGGGAGCAGAAATCCCCATCTTTCTATCTTCAGTGGGGCTTAAAGGTGAAATAAAAGGTTTTCCTAAAAATTCTA